CCCCCCCCACTGACATGGCACCCCCCTCCCCTAGATCCCACATGGATTGTCTCTCAGCCTTCTGGGTCAGCTTCAAACCTGGATTTACAATCCCTCTGTTGGCACTTTGGAGGGTGGTTGTCAAAATTGTAAATGCCTTGTGCAAAGGTTCTGTTACTCTAACAAGTACCTTTAGCCTTGGTGGCAATGATGTTGGGGGGTGATGATGAGGCACACTAGTTTTGGTTAACTGTCCTTGAGTCAACCCTGACTCATGCTGACCCTGTGGATGGGGCATCTCCAAGACCCCTTGTTCTTCTCCACTGCTCTGCTTAGGTCCTGCAAATCCATGCCTGTGACCTCCCTAATTGAATCTATCCATTTGTCATGTGGTCTCCTGCACTTTCTGCTTCCTTCGTCCTTTCCTAGCATTATTGTCTTTTCTAATGAGTCAAGCCTTCTCATGATGTGGCCAAAGTATGACAGCCTTATTCTGTCTTCTTTGCTTCCAGGGAGATTTCAAGCTTAATCTGTTCAAGGACCCCTTGGTTTATCATTTTGGTTGTCCATGGTATCCTCGGCACTTTTCTCCAGCACCACATCTCAGATGGGTTGATCTTCTTCCTGCCAACTTTCTTCACTCTTCAGCTCGCATATCCATACATGGTACACATGAGGTGATAAAACAAGCAGAGTTTCTCTCTCCCTGCCCCCCTCAACTTATTACAATCTAAATTTGGACAAAGTGGAAGATAACAAAGGGATATGATCTTTTATTATTTAAAAAGTCATTTTCCTGGCTCTTGAGAAAGACCCTGTGACAAGCCAGTGAGGGATTTCCATTTTGTGTGGATAACACTGCACTTCCATATTTTACCTTGTCTCTATGGGAGATGAAAGCCACATTTGGGGCAGAGGGTGGGGCAGGGCAATCTTTGACTAAACATTTAAACCATTTAAATGTTTCAAGCTGGCCAGTACAGAGCATTTTTCAGAGTGGTAGTGCTTTTGATGTTTATCTGAGACTAGCTCTGCCTCTTTGTGTGTGTGCCTGGCTGTCTGCTTGCTTGCTTTCTGCCTTCCATAACTATATATTTGCAAAGGGATCATGTAGCACCATTGAGACTAACTGAAATGAAGAAGCTAATAGCACGAGCTTTTGTAGACTTCAGTTTACTTTCTCAGATGTATAGCAGATCGAAGTCTCCAAAATCTCATGCTACCAGCTTCTTTCTTTCCGTGAGTCTCAAATGTGTTACAAGATCCCTTTGCACACTGATTCCCCAGACTAACATGGCTATATGCTTGGATTGTGTGTGTGTGTGTGTGTGTGTGTACAATAACATATGCAAATATCCACAAGACTGTTGCATAGAACTTCTTAATAGAATGTATTTCCCATTTAATTAACAACATAGATAAGGGATGGTGGAGGTGGTAAGTTCAAGTTGGTTCTAACATATGGTGACCGCCTCCTAGGGTTTTCTTGGCAAGGTTTGTTCAGCAAAGGTTTCCCATTGACTTCCTCTTAGGCTGAGAGTGTGTGACTTGTTCACAATCACTCAGTGGATTTCCAGGGCTGAGCAGGGATTCAGACCCTAATCTCTCAAGAGTTCTAGTCCAATACCCAAACCATTGTGGTAGAATTCAAAGACATAGTGTGTTTTTCTGGAAAATCAGTATGCAAAGAGATCTTTCAGTTAGTGCTTCAAGATCCCTTTGCATATCCAAGCCATTATACCATATTGGCTCCTGTAGTGGAAGCGCTTGTCATCTATATTGTTTTACCCTCACACTTCAGAGTGTCACACATTCCCAAAGCTCTAGAATTTCAACTGGCTTTGTATGGGGTGGTACAGCTCAAGTACGAGGATGAGAATATGGAAAAATCCAGGTTGTCTGTTACAAAATTGCCTCAGAAATAAACCTTACAAAGATGATGTGATACTGAGTGACAGAACCATGCCTTTTCTGTCATTCCAAACTTTTAATTTCCAGATGCATTTTAGTGGGGAGAAAGGAAAGAAAGAGAAAGTGCATTCTATCAGTAGGCTGAATATCTAAAATACAAGGGCACAATTCTCTGGAATATCCTACATAAAATGTCGGGGAGCCTTTATAAAGATGAAAATAAGTGTGGGTGACATAATTCCAGTGACAGATGGCTAGTCCCTCATTTAGTTATAAAAGTAAGAAGCCTTATTGGATCCTGAATGCCTCAGAGAGAATCTGGTCCTGTGGGTGAGCTCACGAATCTTGCCAGCTCCTGGAGAGGATACCTTGGCAAGACTTCCTTCAGGAAGGTTGCTTCAGAGACAGAAGCAGGACTGCCTGGATATGTTTTGCTCTCCTTTTGTTTTGCCTTTCAGGGATAGCCATGAGGCAAAGTTTAGGAGAGCTCAGCATTCTGCAAAGCCAGTCACTTTCTCTTACTCACAGTTGCACCAGTTTACTGCTAGGAGACATGCTGAGTATCCAAATTCCAGGGCTAGCTCTAATGTTGGGGAGTTGAGATAAGGAGAAAATTTGGGTCAGCAGCTTTGGCCAACAAGCAATATCAAAAACCAGCAAATTATTAATTATCCAATGTGTTTATTATATTTTTATTGACAAAGAGATGGAGAGGCTGTCTCATGTGGGATTTTATGCATCATGCACCAAAATAATCTTGGCTGGCTTTGGATACTTGATTGAATGTGGATGTCATTTCGGAAGAATGGGAACATTGCCTGTAAAAGTTATTTTTAGTAGAATCTACAAGCCATCATGACCATTGGCCACACTGGTTGTTAGGTATTACATGCTATGTATCTTCACTTGGATTGGCAACAGTGGAATTTGTTCTTCTGCCTCAAACAGCAAAATGCTGTGGAGTGGCCCTGTCATGGTTTAGTCTCTATCCCCTGACAGCTTTCATCTTGGGCCAAATTATTCTTCAAACCATTGTCTCTTCCTTTGTATGCATGCATATGAAGTAAACAAGTGAAAGAAAGCACACTCTCTGTTATCTTTAGCACTCCATTACAGGTTGCAAGTCTCAGGATACTGGTCAAAGTCTCAAGAGATTGCTATGTTTCTCTGGGTCTCCAGAGATAATGATGGTTGGCATGACATGACATGGGCAAGTGAGTTTCATCAGAGGAAGTTTACCATTGCCTTCCTCTGTGGCTGAGAGAGTGTGATTTGCCCAAGGTCTCCCAGTGGGTTTCATGGCTGAGTTGGGATTCGAGCCCTGGTCTCCAGAGTCGCACACTCAAACTGTTGGCTCTCTTTGTTCTTTTTATTGTGCTGTGCCTTCTGTGCTTTATTATGCTTCTTCTTGTTGTTTTTGTGTGGCTCCAAATCGTTTCCAGCTTATGGACCCAGAGCACCCTCCCTCCCTTCTGAGTGCCACTTCCTGGCAATTCTAAGGTGAAAATATCATGGGGCAAATTTTGTCAGAGGGGGATTTCCATGTGTGCCTTCATGCTGTTTCTGACTTATGACAACCCTAAGGTGGAACTATCATGGAGTTTTCTTGGCAATGGTTCCATTCCTTCCTCTTGGGCAGATTCCAGAGGATGATGCTTGGGGACAGCCGCTCTGCAATTGTGTGCTTAACTGTGGCATCCCACAAGGTGTCATCCTGTCCCCAATGCTATTTATATATATATATGAAGCTGCTGGGAGAGATCATCCGGAGTACACTGATGACACCCAGATATATTTCTCCATGTCTCTGTCTTCAGCTTTGACTTCAGATGGATCTCACCTCTCAAAGATAAGTAGTAATGGACTGGATGAGGAAAAACAGATTGAGACTGAATCCAGATAAAATTTACAGTAGTGGCCTCGAAACCAGGTATTGGAATGCAATCTCCAATCCTGGATGGGGTCACACTCTCCTCAAAGGACTGTGTTCGCAGTCTGGGGGTGCTCCTGGATCCATTGCGTCAGATGACAAAACAGGTGAATGCAACGGTCAGGAGTGTCTGTTATCAGTGTCGGCTGATACGCC